TCATCATCACCAAATTTGGCTTTATTAATATCAGTTCCAATTGCTAGTGCTGTTGTTATTGTTGGAATAATTGCTGGATTAATATATTGGAGAAAACGACGTTCAACAGATGAAGAAAACTTATTTGAACATTCAGGTGTTCGTTTTTCATCTGGTTCATATCAATCATCAATAGAACAAAATCAATATGAAAGAAATTATAATAATATTCTTAGTGAACGTCTGTGATAATTCAATTTTACAAAAAAAAAATCTTTTTTTTTTTTTGTTCAATATGATTAAAATGACAAAATCAAGATATTTGACCTTTTCTTTTTTAAATAAATTCTTTTCAAATTCGATTTAATGTAATGCTTTTTCTTTCTGTATAAAAATCATTTTATTTAAATAAAAATAAAATTTATCAAAAGTAAAATATTTCTTTGGAATTTAATCGAAATTATTCAAATGTTAATATAAGAAAATAATTTGAATAAGTTTGATTAAAAAATTTCTATCTCTTTTTCAATAATTTACCGATTGTGAGAAGATAAAATGTTGACTGTGATAGATTTTATTTTTTAGAAAAACTACCGATATTAGATATTCTCTCACGATGTTATCGTAAGTGAACTGGATTGTTCTAATAATACTTGCTTATCAACGATAGTATTCTTTTTTTTTTGTTCACGAGATATTATCTGTTTATTTATCATTCTATGTTAATTATAAAAACATACATTGAAAATCACAAAATTTCATATATGTTACATTTGAAGAGTTATAACGAGTTTTGAATTCACTCCTTGAATTTAAATTTTGAAATTTCATTTATTGCATTATCATTAGCACTAATATTATTGACATCAGAGTTAATTAATGTAAACTTTGGCGGGCTATAGGAAAATGCTACCTGAAGAATTTCAGGAAGTATCTGTAATATTTCAGGCGATGATTGTATGATCTCAGGTAGTGACTTTAATATATCATATGAGAATAGTTCCAGTCAGAATTACAATTATAAATCAGAAAAAAATATAATCTTTTCCTTTGTTTTGTATTTAAACAGAAAAGCCGTTTGGTTTTAATTTTTAATTTATTTTTGAAGCCATTATAGGTAGTTAGTTCTTCATTTATATTCGAAATTGAATTAGGCAACTCATGCTGAAATCTAGATTTTAATATTTAATAAATGAATTTATATATGAGACCAGTTGACTTTTATTTAAACGAGAAATTATTAAATAATTCGATCTCTCAATGATTATTCATCAATTGAATCATAAGGTAAAAATTTTTGAAGTACTTATAAATAAAGTAATGCTGTTGCTTTTATATTTTAATAATGCTTTACTTTGACTTTGATTATACATATATAGAATAGTTTTTAACTAGACTATTTTATCAAATATATTACAATATAATGAAAACAATAAAATGCCCGTGCAACACTTATATAAACTTTGATCATAGTTCTTATTGAAAATGTTACTTTAACAAAATATTAAAACTGATTCACTTATTGTTCTTTTATGGAATTCTAGCAGAATTACTTCTATTGAACAGACGAAAACTGATAAGTGGCTATGTATATGAACTATTAATAATTCAATTATTGTTTCTAATGTATTTTCTGTAAAGTATTTTATAACTTAGAAGAAAAACTCTTGAATTCATAATTCAATGTGAAAATTATAATTACCAAGGGTAACCTTCATGTTTTTCAATAACAATTCTAATTTTTATTATATCAATAAACAAATATTTTTATAAGGATATATGTTTATAATGGTGAAATGTTGAAACGAATATAATTAATAATATAGTTAATTCTAATATGACATTTTGACTGTTTCACGGTAATATTACAGAGAACTGTGATTGTTCACAGAATGGTTTGATATCTCTTCAAAAACTAGATTCAATTCGATAATTGAAATGTACTAAAAAAACTGATCTGAAACAAAAAATCTCTATAAAGTAATGTATTTATATTAGTGTTAAATCAACTTCGAAACAAACTGTTTAGTTAGTAATAACACAAAAGAACTGTTTTAAAATATCTATTTGATTATCGTTAACATATTGTTGTTTAATGTTATTTAGGCATAATATCTTGCAAAAACAAGATGATATACTCTTTTACTACAAAACCGAACATTATACTCACACAAGATTGCACCTATCTTATAAACATGAATTAATTGGTCGTGTGTTACAAGAAGAACTTGTCAATAGAAAAAAAAAAACTTTTTATGATTCATAACCCAATAAATTGTTTCTCATGCTAATTAAAATAACGAATTAAATACAGTGCTGCATCATTATTTCTTTTTGTGTTTACTTTATTAATGATTTATTTTTAAAATAATTTAGAAAACGAAGTTAATATCTAAATCAGTAGAATAATAATTATCATCCATTATAGTTCCAGAACAAAATTGATTATTTCAAAAAAACTATTAATTCGATGTCAAACTGATGAGAAATTATGTATAACTTGATTTTATAAGATACATTTAATATGTATATAACATTTGATGAAAATTTCTTTATTAATATATATTCAATCATCAGAACTATTAAATAGGCAAAAAGAACAAATAATCAAGATTAGATAAGAATTATTATTTGTATGACATGAGACTATTAACAAAATCATTTTTTCTTGAACAATATTTTTAAAGATAAAAACCGAGAGTATTCAACAATTTAAAAAAAAGTCAATGGCAATTATTTTTACAGAGTTCACTTAAATAAGAAATAAAAACTAAGCTGTCGAATTTTAGATGAGTTGATAAAAATGAAAGTTGGGTTCAGTGGTAAAGATTATATTGATCTAAGATATCCTAGATGAATATTGTAAAGAAAATCAAGAAAGTAGAAATAATTTTGATCAGAGTTAAAATAAATTGAATTATATATACATAAGGATGAATTTTCTTTTTCTTTTTTTGATGAACATCGGAAAAAAAACTCGATTAATGTTGAAATTCTTTGAAGTAAAGAAGATTAAATCGATATATAGTGTCCTCTTTTATAAATCTATTCAATTGGTAATAAATGACACAGAAAAATAATCCATATGGTCAAACGACGATAATCACAGGGAGAATTTCTTTCTTTTTGAAAAAATTTTATTTTGTATTGATAAAAAAGAGAAATGGTTCTTCATCAATCTCATAGTTATCCAATTCGTGGAATAATTTATTTAATTCGTCATCCATCATTATGGAAAAATATTCTTTCTGGTTTAATTATAATGATATTAGTATCTATAATGGTATCAATATTATTATTTTTATTTTCATTTCCAGCTCAAGCTTATGCTTTATCTAATCATATGCCTAATTGGTTATCATGGATAATAAGTTTTATTCTAACATTATTTGAAATCGGCATAACAGTTCTTATATTTTCATTATTATTTTTATCATATTATATGGATGTTATATTTGATGCTGTTTGGCGTCAAGAAACAATGATTATTAATCAAGATGAATCACAAATAATATCATCAAAAAGATTTTCTTGTATTAAATCATTTATAATATTAATTATATATCGTGTTATTCTTGTTGTTTTAACATGTCCATTAAATTTAATTCCAATAATTGGAACAATTCTTTATATTTATATTAATGCATATTATTATGCATGGTCATTACATTGTCGTTATTTTGATTTAATTGGTTTAACATTTGCACAAGGTTTGTCAATTTTTAAATTAAATTAAAATTATTTATTATTTATTATTTTAAAAGGAAAACATTATGCTGAAGAAAATTGTTCAGATTATAGACAATTTGGTATAGTTGCTGTTTTATTTGAGATGATTC